GCCGATGGTTGACTTTGGGACACTGAATGTGTCCTATGATCGGACTTACCCCTGCTAGACCGAGAGTGACCCGGCCTATAATGAGAGTCATGAATTACGGGAGATAGGGAATCCTCCTTGTATGATCCTCCCCCCGAGCCGGCACCCTTGGGAGAGTTCCGGTCCGGCGAGGGTGATGGTGTAGGGGTTTTAGGCTTTTCGCCCGCTCCTTGACGGAGGCTTTTGCTCTTGCGGTTCTTAGCCATTGCTGCTAAGATAATTGCAAGATGATCTTGGTTAGGAATTTGGCTTAAAGATTTTTGAAAGTCTTCCCCACAGACAGCGCCAAATTGTTTCGGGTGAAAACAATGGGACCTTGCCGAAGGTCCGCTGAAATGGAGAAGGCTGGATTCGGTCCAAGTTTTGTTGGGCCGAAGGTTTCCTGCACAGTAAACACACGTAAACTAGCCTCGGGGGTGTTGCCGAGGAAGGCCCCTCCGATGCTAAAGTCAGTACAATGTGTAAGAAGAGGACACTATGCAAGAGAGTTTGTTGCTTGAGGCTTTTATGGAATATATCAGAATATATGAATGAACATATGAATCTATGAATGAATCAGAATATGAATGTATCAATAATGATGGCTTTTATACCTCATCATACATGGAGAGGTTGGGCCTTAGCCCAATTGGCTTGCTTTGTGGGCTGACCTTTGACTTTAGCACAATTGGAGAGTTGAACCTTGACCTTGGGCTTTTAATTGGATCATTTAGTGCTTAGGCCCAATTGGACTAAATTGGACCCAAACAGAATATGAGCTGAAATGAACAAAACCAAAGTAATAGAATATGAACTAAAGTGTAATTCACTCAACTAAGATGAGGTGAAGGCAACTACTCAAAACTAGAGTTACGTATTTGTGAGTCGGTCCCTAGTGGATCGGATTATTTTTTCCTTGTTTGAATTCCAAAAACAAAAACAACTTAAATATATATGAAATCATGACTTTTACATATACAGTCCCTTCTCATGAATCATTTTAAATTATGTTCATAATCAGAGTGATATGATTTATGATTATTTTAAGTTGATACTAATTTTATGACTAAAATAAAATTACATTATTACGATTTAGCTTTATAAAGCTGTTTGTTATATAACTTAACTGGATTCATAATTGGAGCATGTGTCAATTTGTGTAACATGCATATTATGTTTTTGTAAATGAAATTGTAGATGCTAATTGCTAAATATGCAATCACATTCCTTATCTCTATCACTAAACATAGGTAGAGAGCTAAAATGAATTACAAACATATGTAATGCAATGTAGGTCAAACAATTGCAACCAAGCTCATTCGAGTAAAATGAATGATGGGTACAATATCAAGAGCGCGTTCGGCAAAATATAACAGTAAAGGTAGTTGTTAGTTGTGAAGGTAGCTGTAAGATGTGTAGGTAGCTTTTAGCTGTCAACAAGTTATAGCTGTGAACATAGATGATTTAGGACTAAGTGTTCGGTAAAGTAGCCGTCGTGTTGATGTTACATATAAAAATCAATATAATCTATATATAAAAATATAGATTAAATTTTCAACAGCTATCTAAAAAACTACCTATGCTATCATAAGCTAAGAGCAACTCCAATGGCAAGCTAATTGCCAAATTAGCTTGGCATGCCTCTTAGGATTGCAAAGCTATTCTTTCTTCTATCTAATTCATACCACAATGGTTAGGCTAATTAGCACTTAAATTGTGTTGCTTTATTTTTTAAAATAATTAGTATTTTATTACATACTATTGATTTCTTAGCTAATTTGCTTGGCATTAGCTTGGCAAAGGTAACTATCAAAGTATCCTCCAATGGTTTGGCTATTAGCTTGAAAATTATTAATATTGCAAGCTAGTCTCTAAAAGCAACCGTTGGAGTTGCTCTAACATCACAACTAAAAGCAACCTAAAAAACTACTTTGCCAAACACTCACATTTTTTCTTAAGTAGTCGTTTGACCAATTTTAACCAATTAATTTAACGCTACCTATAAGCAACGCAAACCCTAACGGCTAACAGGCCCTAAATCTTTTTTGAATTGAACAAAATTCAAATGCATTCAACGTACCATATTGAATCAAAGGAAACATAATTACAGTTAAAGAATCCATTTGAAAAAATGTCAAGCAGTTACATTAAAATAAGTTAACAGAATCAAATCAAAATCAAACACCAACAATTAAGTGTTTTCAACCCCAAAGCTATTTGAATCAAATAACCGCCCTATTACTGAAACAAATCATTTTGTAATCAATTCATACTCAATAGTTTTCAACAAAGGTAACTAATTGAAGGGAAAAAACAATATTAACATGTATCTCAAAACCCATTCACAATTATCTAACTAATTAATATCTACCTACATCCATTCAAAAAAAATTAACTCTTCCATGAGAAAGATAATAAGGAGGTGGAAAAACATTTGATATTCATTGGTTAAAAACAATTTAGTACCACATAACAAATATAACAGGTTTCAACACTGCAACTCACTAAGTTGTGTAAGTGCATACGACTTGTATACATATAGATACTTTATAATAAAGTCCATGGAAAAGTTATATTTTATTTAAGTAGGAAATATATTTTGTGAATAATTGTAAATTACTATTTACATCCCTTAACGTGATTAGGTCTCGTTATAGTAACCCTTTATATTCGTATCTAGTAAATATATTTGTACTTTATTCCCCAATCTAGCTTCCGTAACATTGTTTACTGGATGTTACTTTGTCTATCAGGATAGCATGACGGGGTTTGAAGGATGTAAAACTCGTAAAGAGGGGATATCTAGTCTATTTATTTACTTTTTATGTTTAGTCGAATGTATCACTCAGCCGCATCACTACAGTTACGTGAATAGGTTATTATTTACTCATCGATCGAATTGTTAGTATTCCCGATCATTGTACAAATCAATCATACTACTTAGGTATAAACATATAAATTGTACTTAGTGTATGACCGACCGTGTTGGTTGTGATTTTAGGTTTAATTAATTCAAATATATTCATTGTAAAGTTTACATGGTATTGACGAAAAGGATATTGTATTTACAAGATTATAGGGTAACATGCTGGTTAATAAACCACTTTTGACCTTCTTTGAGTTACTGTTTACCACATTTTAAATTTACTTTTGATACATTTTAAGAGTATGTTGACTTCTTGAGATTTTAACCCAGTTGAAATTTTTGGTTATTGCCCATAACACACAACAAAGCATATGGAGTTTGCCTATACCTCATGGTTCTTTAGTTACATTTATAATTTTGTGTTTTTTTTTTTTTTTTTTTTTTTTTTTTTTTTTTTTTTTTTTTTTTTTTTTTTTATGTTTTTCCACACTTGTGTGCATAGTTGTCATTAATTCAATCCCAACTAACTTATTCATGTCATTATTATTAGCCTTGCTTTCCGTATTTAAAGTAGGAGTTTGTTTCTGAAATTTACAGGCCAAAGTTAACATTTCTTTCCACACTTACTACTTCCATGGATCACAAACATGAGCCCGTCACATTTGCTTCTTTATGCAACATGAGATCTTGACATAAACTGCCCGAATTTCTTACTGCTATCGACTAAATTACTTTCTCTGACCTTGAAATGGTCGATCCCTTCATACCAAACTGCTTATTTGGACCTGCAGGAGGCCCTAATCCCACTGAAGCTGATTTCGACAGCATGCTAACAGCACAACTTTCCTCAATGGCGGAAAGAGACACAAAAGGTTCTTTGTTGCACACCTTTGATGGCCTCTATGGATCTAAATCCAAACGATTCCAGTTTCCAGCTCCCAAAAACTTCTTCAATGTTTTTAACAACCTTTGTTTTAAACCCACTACGCAGCCTCCTACTATTGTTAATGTTGCTTCAACATCACTCCGTTCCATCACAGTTTGAGTCCGACCAAATGATCCAACATTCCACACATGAGGGTTCTTCTTCCAAGGGTAAGGTCAAGGGGAAGGCGCTTGTTGAAGAGGTGGCCCCCATTGGGCTTAGGTGCTGTTCAGTAGAGTCTGGAGCCTCTATGAAAAGGGATAAGGGGAAGGCAAAGGCTCATGACATTGAGCCAAATGCAAAGGGTAATTGTCCTACTAAATTTCAGTCTAATGTTGCTCCTTAAGGGGTGTCCACGCCAATAGATTTTGGAAGGAATGGGGTAAATAGGAAACATGTTTTTCGGATGTTACCATCCATTCCTTAGGATGTTCAGTATGAAGATTTATTCTACCCGAAAACGTATGAAATCAGGCTTATACTGAAGGAGTGGACTCTGATGATAACAGTGTTGAAATTGAAACGGTGGTAAAGGTACCAAAATGTAGATTTTGGTTTGTCTGTGTATGTGATTAGTTTTCTAGAATTTTATGTTTATGCACTAATTTTCTGGAATTGTATTTGTGTCATAGGAGTTACAAACAAAACTATATGTGCTTGATGATTTGTTTTCATCATTTTGTAGGTTTAAGCTTTACATCTAAATATTTTGTACTGGCCCTTTTACAAAGTCCGCCCATTATTTGCTGGACCTGTGTTATCCAATGTAACTCTTCACATGGGTTTAAAAAAAAATTGGTAATGGGCATTCCTTTTGGCAACTTGCTTTTGTTTAGGCTAAAAGCCCTGATTTCCAACTGGCCCATACCAAACATTATTTTATTTTCTGTTTTTTTTATTATTGCTCCACTATACAATCATAGTACTTGGTAAATGCTTGTTCACCAAATTGACTGTGGTATTTGTATGCACGAAACTGGCACTAACATGGTAATACAATGCAATTGAACATGTCTAACGAAACTCGTGTTGTAATGACGACTACATCCCTTATTTGAGCATCAGTGCGCTATTGGACGTCTACAAACTGGCCTCTACTTATGTAATTGAATCGGTGGCCATCCCTTAGCCCATTACAATGGGACAATTTTGGTAATGGTAACAGAACCAGCTTAGAATATATGTACCAACTTCAAAATGAAAACAAATCACCCTAACATGCAAGTGTTAATATTTCAAATGACGCATAGTTGTATGACACTCATTACTGAGTAAACAATAATATACACAACCCAAAATAACTTGGGATTATGCTTTGAACCACTATTGACCAAAAAACCATTAACAGAAACAGCAAAACATAAGATGTTTCAACAACATTCATCCTAATTGAATTGCGTCCCCATTACAACTTTTTAAATTCAATATGTATCAGCCTTCACACTCAACTCATTTTCCCCATTATATGTTACATGGGGTTGCCATTTCCCATATTGCTATGTGTCGGAGCTCGCCTTCTCCTTTCCTTGCACCCCACCATCGTGGTCATATACTGTACATATTCGCACATTAGGTGATATTTACATATCAATTTCATTCTTAGCCGTGCTACAAATACCAGAGAACTCACCGGGTTTTCGGTCATGGTAATTGGGCCATCCGTGTCCCTAGCCTCCCTAGGATGAGATTCACCTTATGCAACATCTAAGAGCTATACCACATGCTAATATTAGATTATAGTATGTATGTGAATGCACTCAAACACACAAACATTGAATCAGTAGTTACCTACCCCTAAGCAACCGTAGTCCCCCGTTCTTAGCCTATCACACTTCCCGACCTTACGAATTTGCTTCATATTCCATACTTTAGTTCGAGGATAAACATCCCATTGAATAGGATCCCTGTCCAACCAGTCCAGGTAGTATATCTGCAACAAATATAAATTCTAGGAATAAGCATACTTATGGATATCACATTTTATAATTGACTATGCTTAGTTGTACACTTACCACTACAAACATTGCACATCCTCCGCAACCTCCAGCAAATCCATTAGCGTAAAATCGACGCGCAAAGCTACTTACACTGTCCATTAATTTACACAGTATCAACTTACACCAATCATACTCACAAGTTTCCATTACACACCCAAGAGCAGGCATTAAGTCAGACTCTAATCTTGGTAACTGGGTCGGGCACAACACCATTTGCAATGCATAATCAAGAATAGAGTTTTGAATTCTTCCTCCTGTTGTACCTCAAAATACCCTTCAAACCTGTCTTTCATCTCACTCTTGACAGGAATTCCTATGGATGTGTACACATTTCAGCAGTCGTTCTTTAATTTTGTCTGCCATGATTTACCATATTTCAAGAATATGTTCTGGACCTTCTCACGAATTTCATCTGTCATCGAATTCATACTTGGAACTTCTTTTGCACCATTTGGGATACCTAGCACCCATCTAACCTGATTCTTTGATAAGCGGTACTCCCGACCTCCTGGTGCTATAAAAACTTTGTTTATAGGGTCAACCCTAGTCATTAACCAATAGGCTAACTGCCTTGGAAAATGCATATCATAGGCAAAGTGGAGCAGCCCTCCAAAACCCATCTCATACACCCACCTTCTCCTCCTACCATCAAATTTTTGACATATTCTCCCAAAGGACTCTATACGACAGTTCATATTAAGAGGCTGCAGATATAAAATAGTTTTTTATAGTCATTACACCTTTTTGATTGACTTCATCAACTTTATATAATAGAAACAACCATTACTTATAACACAGATTCAACTGATACAAAAATAAAACATGATAGAATTAACAATTGAAGAACACAACATGTAGTCATGAACCAAACCAGATATGTGATTTCCATGCACAACCAGTGTTTAAAGTAAGGGCATAGGACACTCACCCTTCGGCTACTGGCCGAGTGTTCCCTCAGAACTTCACTTCTATCTTTCACAAGTCCACCATCGCTTAAAGAATTTTCCTACAATACAATACCATTTTATCCTTATGACAAATCTGGGTTTGATGTTACTAAATTCCAATTCCTGTCACGAAATTCAGATATACCTTAAATAATCCCGCATGCAATTGAATTACCTTCTGACCATTTTCCACACACAATGCCATCACAAATACGCCACCCAATGTTATTCAGCCATCCAAATTTTTTTAACATAATAACAGAAATGATCCCTCGCCTCACAATACATTACCTCCGCGTTTTTGGACATAGGTCGTTGTTCATCGCCAATCTACATTGAACCAATTAATGAGAAAAACGATTAAAGTATTGCAATTTTTTATATCAGTTACTAATTAAGTAAATTAGTCGCATTTCTAATTAGATAGTTTAGGGCTTGTAGGCTGGGTTTCAGATTCAAATCTTTAACAATTACAAAATCAAAATTGAACAATTAAACTATTAAAGTACCTTCTCAAGCTTTGGAGGCTGTTGTTCGGATTCAGATCCACCTCCGATTGAGGATCTCTTTCGCTTACAAAGTGATGTGGAAATCGATGTCACTGTGTTTATTTCCGTTGTGGTTGTAGTCGTATGTGGAAATCAGCAGCTAAATCCTTCCTCTTTGTATATAATTATCAGAAACCTAGGGGAAGATTATTGTAATTCGTGATTTCAATATCAAGCTTAAAGGCGAGTGTTCGTAATCGATGTAGGGGTAAGAATTGACAAAATACACCCTAAGTCCCATATGTAACGGCAGCATTACTAACACCGTATCCATTGGGTCGATAGACAAAATATCAGAGACGATGTCGGCTAATGATTTTTATTCTAACATTTCGTTATCTTGCTATTCTTAAGTGAAGAATATATACTCAAAAAAAAAGTGAAGAATATATTGTAACATATTTGCTAATAACACTAATTAATTACACGAAATAGTACATTATTGAGCTACCCTTTAACAAATTGGGTATAGAATATGGATCCATATGATGAAAATGCATTTGATTATTTTGGCTTTGCTTTTAGTTTTGAATATGGATCCTCATGATGAAAATGCATCTTGGGTTTAATTTCGCATTATCACATGTTTTAATTTTAGTACATTAATCTAGGGGTCTTCTTTGGCAGAATATTGGAGTATTGGTTATATTTACAATAGTTATAACTATATTCATGTGATAATCGGGTTACTTAAGAAAATCGAGTCAATTTGTTTTGGAAAGAGAGACCAATTAAGAAAAATAACATAAAAAAAAATCAAGACAAGAGAGAGAGAGAGAGACTACTTAGGAAAGATCATTGGAGAGAGATTACTTTAAAAAGACCACCTGACAAAAAAAAAAAAAGGAAACCAGTTAAGTATATCAGTTAGTAAATTAAGAGAAATTATCTTTGATAAATAGTTACGGAAATATTAGAAACTAAGAGAGACCACTTCAAAAAGATCACTTTAGAATAAAAAAACACTTAAGAAAAAGGAAGTTGCTCAAGAAAAAAGATCACTTGTGAAAAGTCACTTAAGAAAATCAAGAGACCACTTAAGAAAAGTCACTTAAGAAGAAAAGCACTTAAGAAAATCAAGAGACCACTTAACAAAATTTGGGTAATCAGCTTATAAGATAAATTAAGGCAATTAGCTTAGGAAAGGAAAAGAAAGAAACAATGAATGAGAGAGACCGCTTAAGAAAGATCATCTAAGAAAATTAGGGCAATTAGCTTAGAAGAGCACAATTATCTTAGGAAAAAGACTTATTAAATTAAAATGTGAGAGAGAAAGAGAGACAACACAAGAAAGATCACTTAAGAAAATCTTGGCAATTATCTTAATAAGAAAGAAAAAGAGTGAAAGGTTGTAGGGAATAAATTTCAAGCGTTAACCCCTAGCTTGAACCCCACTGTGATCATACACTAAAGTACGGTGGCGTCCAAAAGGGAAGAAGATAGAGCAAAAGAGTCGCCAACAAGTTTTTTAGGGACTTGTAAACCGTTCACAGGGTGAAGGTTACACCCCTTAACGATCCAAGTGATCGTCAACTCCATAAGGTCTAGAACCAAATAAGGGTATGGGGATGAAGGTACAAATCCAACCTAAAAGAGATTGAACCTGCCCTAATAATAGGCCTCTACTTTATTCTGATCGTATTCATGTGCGCTTTTTAATTAACATGCAATCATTAGGAATTAACCCTAAACCTGTTTATCTATGTTGGTTGAATTTAATGCACAAATAAACTATTATTGGTGATCACTTGAAATTATAATCAAATTAACCCTAACAAGATTATTAATCATCTTATTAAGCGGGATTACAAATACCAAATTCCCTTTAAACATGCATAAAAGGTGTGATCAAGCAATAACAATAAATATCAAGCAACAAGCAACATAATAAATAAATATCACAATATCACGAATTATAATAATAATCATAACAATAATAATAATCATCATTATAAAATCATAGTCATAATCAAAATAATAATAATAATAATAAATAAAATAATCATCATCAAAATAACAATAATAATATTCATAATCATCATAAATTATAACAATTATAATCATAATCATGTTCATGTTAATATTAAAACATAATAATAATAGCAAGATCCTAGGCATGATACTAACAAGATTAATAACAAACCCTAGCATGTCACTAAGCAATAAAAATCAAATCTTTAGCCCTAACATGATACTAACAACCATAAATATTAGGAAGAACATAGGAAGCATCGCAACAATCATATTTAATATTAAAGTTACCCTAGACATGATACTAGGAATATCATAATAACAATCTAAACATGATTTCTACATCATAATATCAATTAAAGCACTTACTTTGATGCCTCTTACCTCTTTCTAATAACAAAATACACACGTTAGTAACTTCAAGGAAAATAATAATCAAAACAATCAAATTAAATAATTGAAATAGAGATTTGGGACCAAACCCTAAGAAATTAAACCTTTCAACTCTAGGGCGAAGGCAACTTCGAATATGGCTAGGTGTTTCTAGATCTTGCGAATGCGGAGTTTGGTATTTGAAAACAAAGTTTAGAAAAAAGAAAGAATTGATGAATGATTAAGAGAATGAGAGAGAATTAATTGAATGAAAAATGATTCTAGGCGAATGTTAATTAAAACTGATTGTTGATGATAACTCGTGAATAAAAACGGAGTTTTTAATACGTTATTTATAGAGAAAATCAACCAAAAAGATAAAATACACAAAATAGAGTCTGACGTACAAAAAACAGAGATGGCGCCAACCCTGGCTAACTAGTGCCCGACACCAACACTAGCGCCAGGCCTTGTTCTAGGCGCCAATGCCTGGAGTCAGGCGCCAAGCCTGTTTTTTAACGCGTTTTAGAAAATCAGATAAGTTTGCCGCACTGGAGGATAAAATCATATATTTTCCTCGAAAATGCTATTTGATTTTAATTAAAACTCTGAAAAGTCAACAAAAGTCAATTTATCAATGCTAATTGAATTAGGAATGAAAAGAACCTTCTAGAAGAATCTTGAAGACTAAAACCATTCCTAATTGCATTAGGAATGATAAATCATATTAGGTCTTCCCTAGATCATTGGGCCGGATATAAGGCTCAAACCGGGCCCAGTTTAGTAAATTGGCCATAACTTCCTCAATATTCATCGGAATTGGGCTTATAATATATCATTGGAAAGGTCTTGTCAAGCCCCATCCAACTACACTACTATTGGACCCATATCATGGACCAACAAAACTGGATTGGCTGTTTTCTTATAATAAGTTTTCAAAAATAGAGAGAAGAGAAAAGAAATTAAAACATTACGCAACACTAGACTTTCCACACTTTCACTTCATTCGATTATGATTCGACGTGAAAGGTACTCATCACTGGGTTTGGTTTTGGGGAGACACAAATCGGTGTCTACAAAGGTCACTTAAGAAAAATCACTTATAAAAATAGGATCAATTGGCTTTTGAGAGGTGAGAGACCGATTAAAAAAGATCACATACATAAAAATAAAAAAACCAAGGAAATTAGCTTGAAATAGAGAGAGAAATAACAATTAAGAAAATCAGAACAATAAGCTTAGGGAAACACAATTAGCTTAGCAAAAGCCTTACGCTGGAATGCGAGAGAGAGGGAAAGAGAGATAAAGAGACCACTACAGAAAGATAACTTAAGAAAGTCAGGACAATCAGCTTAGAAAATCGCAATTAACTTTAGGGGGGAGAGAGAGAGATCAGTAATTAGCTTAGGAAAAGGCTTATTACCAAAATAATGGCCACATAAGCTAATTACATTATCTTAAGCTAAGTAATTATTAAGAAAAATCACTAGAGAGCGAGAGAGAGAGATAACACACTTAATATCCAAACACACTATAGGGAGAAAAAGGAAGAGAAAAAGAGGCCTCTTAAGAAAGATCGTTTGAGAGAGACCAGTTAATAAAAATCACTTGACAAAAAGAGAGATACTATTTAAGATAGATCACTTAAGAAAATAAGAGAAATTAGTTTAGGAAAAAGAGTTACTTAATGCTTGAGAGAGAGACCACTTAACAAAGATCACTAAAGAAGAAAGATCACTTAGGAAAACAAAAATCACATAAGAAATTCGAGTGACCACTTAAGAAAGATCACTTAAAAAAATTCCGGGCAATCAGGGTAATTTCTTAGGAGAGAGAGAGAGAGAGAGAGGGATCACTTAAGAAAAAAAATCACTCAAGAAGAAAAAAAAGTTCACTGAAAAATGGTCAATTAAAAATAAATATCACTTAGAAAAGATCGCTTAAGAAGAAAGGTCACTTAAGCAAAGAAAAGATCTCTTAAGAAAATCAAGAGAAATCTGGTAAAAAGATTCATTTATTTTAGAATAGGGAGAGAGTGAGAAAAAGACCACTTCAGAAGAAAGTTCGATCTCTTTAAACAAATCCAGAAACCACTTAAGTAAATCAGGCCAATTAGAGAGAGAGAGAGAGACCACTTAGCAAAGATCAGTTAAAAAAACTAGGGCAATTAGTTGAGGAGATAGAAAGATCACTTAAGAAATATTGAGGCAATTAGCTTAGAAGAGATAAAGAGAGAGACAGAGATACCAGTTATGAAATATCACTAAAGAGAATCAGGGCTATTAGTTTAGAAAATAGGCTTACCAAAATACGTGCGAGGGAGAGATGGAGAAAACTATAGAAATATTACTTAAGAAATCAAGACAATTAGCTTATGAGAAGAGAGAGAGAGAGAGAGACAGAGAGACAGCTTATAATAAAATCAAGTCAATTAGTATAGGAGAGAGAGAGAGAGAGAGAGAGAGAGAGAGAGGGAGGGAGAGAGACCACTTAAGAAAATTAAGACAATTAGCTTTGGAGAGATTAAGACCGCTTAAGAAAACAAAGGGCAATCGACTTAGAAAAAAACACAATTAACTTAGGAAAAGGATTACTAAAATGCTTAAAAAACACAATTATCTTAGAATAAGGGGCAAGCTAATGTACATATGAACTGTTTTTTGTTTTTTTGGAAGAAACATATGAACTGACTTTATAATATCAACAAAACCATAAAATAAAACAATTTTGATATAATTATAATATTAGCAAAACCCAAATAATATTTTTTAAAAAATTATAATAGTGAGAAAATATTGAGTCTTTTTAAGAGAGAGATCACCACTTAAGAAAGATAACTTAATAAAATAAAAGAAATTAAATTAGCATAGAAAAAAGACTTACTAAATACTACACACACACACACACACAAAGAGAGAGATAGAGACCACTTAAGAAAGATCACTCACGAATAAAGAAAGATAACATTA